TTCATGGTTCAGACCACAAGAGCTTCTTTTCAGGCTGTAAGAAAGAGCCACATGAAATGCTGTAAAGCACTTTGGCATCTCACTCTGCTTTGTTTTATAACCTTTGGTGCAAGGGTTGGCATTTGTAGGTGCTGGCTTCTGCTCTGCGGGGATTTCTAGCTCTTGTTCTTACCACACAGGTCCCCCACCTGCCACCAGGCATAGCACAATTATTTTCTACTGTGAGACATTTTCCATGTCCTTTACAGAATTTCAGCGAGAGCAGGACAATGAGGCAGACTGTGCCAGCCGGGTGGTCCTCACCAGGCTGGGCTCTCCTGTGCCTTAGGACCCGGTACTGCAGCAGACATCTGAGTAAAGCCAGCTCCAACCTGCACCGACTGTTGGTTAGTTATGTAAAGACTAATTGTGTGCATTCTGCCTATCTTCGAATTAAAATGTCCTCTGAGATAATGTAGATCCCTGTGCAGTATGAGAACCAGTACTTAGAGCATGACGGCCTTTGTTTCTCTGGGATGAAGGCCCACAGTGCAATTGCCAGGTGGGTCATGTGGCAGTTTCATGTTTAGTTACTACACTCCTGGTTCCTTTACACTCCCTGCCACCTCGTCCTTTTCCATCCCTGCACTTGCCAGCAGGCACAGGTGTAGTTTCTCTAGTCCGCGGAGCACCTGAGCTGAGACGTTCTCTTCATTGTGCAACAGTGCTTAGTTCTCTTAAGCTACATCGTCCTCGTGGCCAGGCATGGTGGACATGTTTTCATGTGCTTGATTCCCGCCCATGTGTCCTTTGTGCAAATGGCTTCTTTCTGACTTTTGCCCACTTTCTTATTGGATATTTGTTTTACTGTTGACCGTCTTATCTACCCTCCTTGCTGGGTACGTGGTTTTCAGTCTGTTTCTCCTAGTGTGTACTTACGCAGGGCCTATAAGAGCAGTTTATTTCTAAAGTTCAGTGTATCAACTTTCCCTTTCCTGGCTTGCATTTGTACTGTCAGGTCTGACAGTTCTGCCTGGCCCTAGATTCCAAGCAGTTTCTCTTAAGGTTTTCCCACAAGTCTTGTGGTTCTGTGTTTTGCATTTAAGTCCCTGACCCATTTTGAGATCATGTTTGGATTCAGTGTGGGGCTGTGCCAAGGTCCTGTTTAGCCTCCACCTCTCCTGGCACCCCTTTGTGTTAAAGACTGTTCTTCTGCTGGCTGCTCTTGCACCCTTGTCCAGGTTGCTAGGCTTATCTGTGAAGGTCTGTTCTGAGCTCTGTTCTGTCTTGTGCTCTGCTGTCTGTCTCTTGCTGACTCTGCCCTAGCTTATCTGGCTGTGCCTCTACCCAAAGGGCTGAGAGTGTTATGCCTTCTTCGATTCCTCTTTTCCCAGGGGTGAAGTCTGTGTTAATTTCATTTCCTGACCACTCTGCATGGCTGTCATCCCTGTGTTGGCATCTGTGGACTGTCTATTCTCACTATTAGTGTCCTCCTGATTCTCTGGGTGAAAGGTGTTTTGTATGGTGTTTTAATTGGAACCTACCTGTTCATGTGATGTCACGAGACTCAGGATCTTGCCCGGTTCTGCTTAAGCTGACTCTTCCAAACTCTGTAAGAGGAAGGCGACAGCGCCTTACTACAAGTGGGGGGCAAGTCCAGCACCCTGCTGGGCCTCACTGCTTCCCACCTAAGAAAGTGCCTTGGTAACAATAGGGTTATGGTTGTTGTGATAAAACACCAGGACCAAATCAACACGGGAGGAAAGGATTTATTTCACTCACAGTTCCATATAACAGTTCATCATCAAAAGCAGAGAGGTGAGGACCTCAAACAGGGCAGGAACTTGGAGGCAGGAACTGATGCAGAAACCATGGAGAGGTGCTGCTTACTGGCTTGTTCCTCGTGGCTTGCTCAGCTTGCTTTCTTATAGAACCCAGGACCACCAGTCCAGGGGTAGACCCACCCACAATGGGCTGGGCCCTCCCCCATCAATCACTATTTAAGAAAATGCCCTACAGACTTGCTTACAGCCCAAACTTATGGAGGCATTTCTATATTGAGGCTCCCCCCTCTCTGACAACTCTAGCTTGTGTCAAGTTGACATAAAACCAGTCAGCACAGAAGGCCTCTTGCTGCCCCTTCTAGGGGTTCCAGTGGCAGCGTTAGGTGGCCTTTTGCTGGCAAGTAGCTAACAGAGTTGTCTCAGCCTAGTGGGAGTGAACTGTGACTCCCCTCTTGGGCTTGTCTCATTACACCCCTGCCTGAAACTCCAGGCTCCTTCTTAGAGCCCTACATGGATGGGGTCAGGCTGGGCTCTTTTATGAGCTTTGGTTGAGTAGACAGTGTTGTTTTTCAGTTTTCCTTCTCACCAGAGATAGCTACTTTTATCAGGGTTTTGTTTTCTTGTTTGATTGGTTGATTTTGTTTGCTTTGTTTTGATCTCTGCCCTTTGGTTTAGGCAATTTCCAACTTCTTCCACTCCAAGTCAGGTTAATGAGGCTTAAGGAAATTTCAGAGCTTCTAGGTAACACCTTGCTTGGCTTCTAGGGCACAGCATGTATAACCTGATCTGGTTGTCTTACTTCTTTTATTCTAAAATCTAGGGCTCTCAACTGTACATCACAGAACAGGAAGAAAAGGTAAAGTATATTTTCTGCATCTTGTACACACTGTATTTTGAGCATATTCCTATTCTCTTTTCTTGTCCCCTTCCTTTCCCATTGATGATCATCCTCTTCCCAACTAGCTGTTTCTACTTTTTTTTTTTTTTTTTTTTTGGTGGTTGGTGACCCAAAGAGTTTCATTAGGATTGTTTACAGGAACATGATTTCCTTACCAGTGGCTATACCACTGAAGAAAATGTCTCTCCCTCAACCACCAACTGTTAACTGCCTGTGAATCCTTAGGGGAGGGGGAGACCCCCTCATGAACCCCCCCATCCTGTTGGGGGTGATGTAGATGTTCCACCCATGACTAAGCAGTCAACAGTCATTTATTCTTGGTACTTTGAACAGTTATAAATCTCTGCAGTTCCACTGATCGTTGCAAAAAGAAGCCTCTGTGCCCTCTGCCTGCCTTATGCCTCCTCTAAGCAAACAAGAGCTTTCTGTCCAGTTTCCATTTTACCACATAGTCTGGGTTTCTCAGAGGTGTCTGTTCCCTGTCCTGTTATTTTCTCTCTTTGCAGTAGTATAGTCCAACCTCTGGCCAAAACCTGTCTGAATGAACAACTATATCCCTGTTTCCTGAGCTTACCCCTTCCTTCCTAAAGGTGCCTGCCCCCCTGCAGTGTTCCCTCACTTGATACTTCACCAAACCCCCCCCTTTCTCTTCAAACTTTCCACAGTGGTTTGGGCTGGTGAGATGGCTCGGTAGGTAAAGGTGCTTGCTGCACAAGCCTGCGTTCATTTCTGGATCCGCATAAAGGTGGAAGGAGAGGACCATCTCTACAAAGTTGCCCTCTGACCTCCACAGCCACATAACACTTTACGTAGTGAGGACACTGAGTCATCCAATGCAGAGCTGTATAAAATACACACCATTGCATAGTAGGCCCACATGTCCACCCCTGCAGAGTCACCAGCCCAGGACTATTTCTCTCTCTGCTTCTTTTCAAACGACACTGAACTACTTTGAAGTCCTAGGCATCATCATTTCATCTGTAAATACTTCAGTATGTACCTCTAACAGATAACTACTGTTTTCACACCCATGCCTGTCAGCAAATGTTCCTCAGCATAATCAGCTATCTGGACAGTACTAACATTTGCATTCCTCAATTGTAAAATCTATCTGATCCATTTTAGGTTCTTATGGTACCCAGCGCTGCTTTAAGCATAATAGATACTCAAACTGTATCTTAAAATAATGAATTAATATAAAGTGATAATGCTTTATAGCTCCCTGGAAAACTTTCTTTTTAAGATTTATTTTATATGTGAGGATATTTTGCCTGTTGTGTATGTATGTCTATGTACCATGTGCATGTAGTGCCATGGAGACCACGGAGGATATGTATCATATCCCCTGGGACTGGAGTTACAGTCAGTTTGGAGCTTCCATGTGGGTACAGGGAATCAAACCTAGACCCTCTGAATATCATTCAGTGCCTGTAACCATTGAGCCATCTCTCAACCCCTTGAAAACCTTGAACAAATGATTCTATGTAGAAACTCTATCCTGCAAGTGCTGTATGAGATAATATGTCCTACCTAGTATATTTAATCACCATTTTCCTAAAAGCAAGGAATTTACTTTATTGATATTGGTAAAACAAATTTGTTTACAAAGGAATATTGGTTTCAAAATTTGCAAATCTTTTTCTCTTATTTCCAATTTATCAGAAATATTTGGGAAGATGAAAACATTGAATTTGTTGAAAATTTTCTTTAGATCTTTTCTTGGTTTCTCCTGCTAATGAAATAGCAGTTGTGTGTGGTGAAGGAATCGTGTTAGATTAAATTGCATTAGATTTAAGCTACTGTACACATTTTGCTTTCCTGTGATGTGCTGTTGGGTGCGTGGAAGTGTGGGTAAAATACTTAGGATGTCTTATTATGTGACATCACTTTTTCACCATTCATAGACCTACTAGGGCAGAGCGAGGCTAGATGGCAAACAGCTGGAGCTTGTTGTCTGTGATCAGCCATGATACAGCTGTTGACAGCAGGCTCTTATGGGGTAGAATTACCACCTTGTCGCTGGTCCAGAACCCTTAGTGGCCCTTTGCTCCCTGGAGTAGACCATGAAGTTCCTGGATACTAGTCCTAGGCTTCCTTTTTGGTGACCCCTTTCTCATTTCCACTGTCTCTCCACATAAGGCAGCTAAGTCAGGTGTCCTGGAGTATGCTGAAGGAGATGAAAAAGACTGAAAATATTCCTTCCCAAATTACAAGCCCGATACTTTTTGTGATTTTTGTGGTTTTTTTTTATTGCAGTGAGGTGCTGATCAGCACACAAAGAGGCCATACCTCATTTTGCTAGGATCACACACTAAACATTGTTTCTTGCTGTCTTTCAGACAGAAGTGGTCTCCGCCAGTCAAGAACCCCTCAAAAGCATTTTACCATGGATATAGAAGATGAAGAGAATATGAGTAAGATCTAGGCCTATTACATAGTGCCCAAGTAGTTCATGCCCCATTAAAATATTAGTGCTTTTGTAAATTTCATTAATAAGACCTGTTTGATGTTTCCTAAGATGTGGGCTATCAATATTTACTGTGGACATTTTCCTTACAGCCACCTATCTAGAGTTTTCATTCCTCATTATCATCATGGGACCACCCTTTTTATTCCAGAAATATGCCTCTAGGTGCCTGTCTCATAATGCTGTGTGGCTTCATGTGAAGTTGTGGTTCTTGTAATAAAGCTCTGAACTTTCACCAGTATAAACTCAAGAAAACCTTTTTGATTGACTCAGATACCTGGTCACTGGGATAAGAGTTCATAAAGGTCCCTTCAGACACAGTCGCTGCTCCTGCATTGGAGGGAAGGGAGTCCACATGATCTTAGTCTCGGAAGACTGGAACGCGATTGGTGCTAGTGTGAACCAAACCCTCACTGGGGTTCCTTCTGCTCTCCACACCGTCTTCCACGGGGCTGCGGGGATGGGGCCTCAGGCACACCGACGTTTCCTCCCTTGCCGTTCGTTCTCTGTGAGCCACCAGTCACTTCTTCCACCCACCTCAGTCCCAGAGAGGAGCAGGTCTAAAGGGGAAGTTGCCTGGAAGAAGGCACTTGTCCATCTAAGGTGCTCTCTCTGTCTGTCTAAAGGAAGAACATGCAGCTGCACAGCACAACCTCATTTTCCTGGGGGTGGTATGATGGTGAGAACCAGACTCGGCACGCTCTCTATGGCTCAGCCCAGTGGCAGGGACTGTTGCTCTGCAGTTCTTGGACACCCAGAGCCTAAGAGCACTGTGTGAGGCGAGTCTGTACCCCACCGCTGGGCTGGATCTGGGGTGGGCTGTGCAGCAGACATCCTCTACCCTGAGAATGACCACTGGCTGGCATGAAGCAGCTGCCCAGTGCCATTTTGAGTAGTGTAGCTGGCATGCTTTGCCTCTGCTGATGCCAGCTGCTTACAGCTCACTGGTCGCTTCTCCTCAGTTCTGCTCTTGAGCTGTTTTAAGCTGTGGTTTTGCTGGCAGATCTACCCATCACGCTCAGTGTTGTCAGGTTTTAAACTCCACATTTCAGACCGTATTGCCAGTGCCAGCCCAGGAACCCCTACCCCAGGGAATATGTGAAGGTGTCCCCAGAACTACCTGCTGGCTGGGGACTGTGGATTGTGTCTCCAGCTGTGGCCATCACCATTGAGCCTTGGGTAATTTAACTAAGGAAGGGTCCTCCTGAATAATATTCCTGTAAAAAAAAAAAAAAACTTTGGGGTCTAGTGCAAACTTAAGTGTCAGGCCTCTATCTCTTGTGATTTTAAAAGCAGTTAAAGTTCTGCTGTGATGCACTTCATATTCTAAATGCAGCAGGGTGGTATGCAGAGTGCCTGCTTCAGCAGAGAGTAGGCTCTGTCTCTAATTGGAGTATTTTATTTTTGTTTGCTCAGGAGCATTTTTTGATAACATGTGATTGGTACCTTTTCTTCTGAAGTGAGTACGAGTTGAGAATGATTTCAACTGTCACAGAAAGTGTATTTTTTTTTTCTTATAATCTTAACCGTTAACTTAGCTCTGAGGGTGTTTGGCTGTTCGTCATCATTAATGTTTGGCTAACTGTGTGCCAGAGTGCCTTGTTGATGATGTTTGTTTCTGTGCTGGTAATGCTGTTGACTGCTGAACTTGAACTGTGAGCAGAATATAGTATGTGACTTTCTCCCTTTATTAATCTCTCTATCCGTCTTTGCTCTGCCTTTTCACCTTTTGTTCCCTGAGTACCGAAAGGAGTAACCTACCGGTCTTTTGCTGGAGGATGTTATAAATGAAAATTTAGTGCCCATTCCATTAGCTTTGTCAGCTGGGAGAAGTGGTGTGTGTGTCAGGAGTCTTCTGGGAAGAGGTGTCTGTTGAGAGACCCCTCCCGCCACCGCACACATGAGATTTTTTTCCATGGACTGAGTTTATTTTGGTACTCTTTGCTGCCTCAGCTTAATAATGATGACCCTGGGCATCTGTGATCCTTAACTCCAGAGACAGGCAGCAACAACCAAGACGTTCATCACATTAACCCTGCCTGCAGGCTCACTGAGGAACATTTTCAGTGTGTTCAGAAAATCTGTAGGTGTATTGCATAGTGGAAACAGACCCCTGAAGCTGCCATATTGAGGAATATTTTTATCAATTAAGATTTACTTTGGATTTTAGGAGCTAGTGGCTGGAGATCTAAGTAAACACTGCGCAGGCGTGCTGCACAGGACTGCAAAACCAAATGATAAAAGAGGAATTAGTTTTTCTGGTTTTGGAAAGCTTAATAAACCTAAAGGGAGGGCTGAACACTCCCCACTTTGAAAAAGTAATTTTTCTTTTTGCTTGGTGGGAGGTTGAGACAAGGCCATGGCTGTGTGTAGCCTTGTTTGCCCTCTAACTCTCCGTTCCCTTCTGAGTCATAGAAGAACAGGTATGCACCCCCATGCCTGACATTTATTTCCCATTTAAATATCAAAATCACCTTTGATTTTGCCATGTGAAGTAGATTTAAAAGGAACGATCACCAAGTTATCCTGGAAGCCTGCCAGCTGTCTTTAGAAAGTCGGGTTTGCTGGCATGTTTTGAAATTAGGGAACACAGCTTGCCTGCCGCTCCAGGTCTCTATCTCACGCTTACGTATTTTTCTAGCATAAAATGTATTAAAGATTCTGAAGCAGATAGCGCTGAAATATAATAAGAAATCGCAAATGTATGCATTATTCTTCAGAAATAAATTCTATAAAGTCATAACACTTTACCTTATTATGTAAGCAGTTTTCTATGATCGATTCATGAACTAAACCAGATAATCACGTGTTGATTAGCTGTTTGGAACCTCAAGAGCCAAAGAAGTTGTGAAGAGACATTTCTAAATGGCACCTTCTCTCTGGAGAAGTGCTGCAGTTTAAAAACTGTGTCAGTTAAGGTCAGTGTCCTTGCAGAGGAAGAGCATGCGGAGATCAATGCCTGTGTGCTGGTGGACTTAGAGGCCACTTCATTAGCCTTAGTGTGAGTCTTTATGGATTAACTTAACATCTAACATCTTGGTAAGCTAGAAAGATTTAGGATGTCTTTGGTAGAGAAAATAAGTTAAAAAATTTATCTTCTAATGCAGAAGAAAATGATAAACTAACTAGAAGAGGCAATAGGTGTTAGTTTAAAACAAACAAACAAACAAAAAATCTCAAAGTGCATTCCAGCCCTGAACAGTTACGTCTTTGGTCAATGTGTAGTTCCTCATATTTGTGTTGAGGAAGAAAACATACACACACACATCACTTACCCAGCTACAAAGAGATAAAGGAATCTATAAATTTTGCATTTACAAGATCCTGCAACGAAGGCGTTGTAAGTTACTCTTTCTGGGCACCACAGGTTCCAGCAGCACTGATGTTAAGGAAAACCGCAATCTGGACAACATGCCCCCCAAGGACAGCAGCACACCCGGGCCTGGCGAGGGTCTTCCACTCTCCAACGGGGGTGGTGGTAGCACCAGCAGGAAGCGGCCCCTGGAGGAGGGCAGCAATGGCCACTCCAAGTACCGCCTGAAGAAGCGAAGGAAAACACCGGGGCCTGTTCTGCCCAAGAACGCCCTGATGCAGCTGAATGAGATCAAACCTGGCTTACAGTACATGCTGCTATCCCAGACAGGACCTGTGCATGCGCCTCTGTTTGTCATGTCTGTGGAGGTGAACGGGCAGATCTTTGAGGGCTCTGGCCCTACAAAGAAAAAGGCAAAACTCCATGCTGCTGAGAAGGCCTTGAGGTCTTTTGTCCAGTTTCCCAACGCCTCTGAGGCACACCTGGCCATGGGCAGGACTCTCTCTGTGAACACAGACTTCACCTCTGACCAGGCCGACTTCCCCGACACACTCTTCAATGGCTTCGAGACTCCAGACAAGTCAGAGCCACCCTTCTACGTGGGCTCCAATGGGGATGACTCCTTCAGCTCAAGTGGAGACGTCAGCCTGTCAGCCTCCCCAGTGCCTGCCAGCCTCACCCAGCCTCCTCTGCCCATCCCACCGCCATTCCCACCCCCAAGTGGGAAGAATCCTGTGATGATCTTGAATGAGCTGCGCCCAGGGCTGAAGTATGACTTCCTCTCTGAGAGCGGGGAGAGCCATGCCAAGAGCTTTGTCATGTCGGTGGTGGTAGATGGCCAGTTCTTTGAGGGCTCAGGGAGAAACAAGAAACTTGCCAAGGCCCGGGCTGCACAGTCTGCCTTGGCTACTGTCTTCAATTTGCACTTGGACCAAACACCATCTCGCCAGCCTGTCCTCAGTGAGGGTCTTCAATTGCACTTGCCACAGGTGAGGAAGAATGGGTGCTTGCACGTGAGTGGCCGTTTCCCCTGCTGACGTTTTAAGCAGCCTTTAGTCTTCAGTATTACTCCTTATGTTACTGAGCCCTTAGCGGGAGCAGTTGCTGGTAAATCTGACTATGGAGTGACTTTGCCTCAGTTCCCATGGTTACTTGGTCACTGAGAATCTGGATTTAATCTCCTCTGATTTATGCTTACTAGGGTCATGACAGGTCAGAGCAGGAATACCTCAGGGCCCCCGCCAGCACAGCTACAATTGCCTTTCCATTTAATTTTGCCCCAAAGGGACCCTCACCCCACAGCAATCTTTTACTAGGAATGGGGTAGGGAGCCCAAATGATGGAATTTTGTCCTTTGTTCAGTGGGGCATCCCTTGAAACACTGCACAGAGAAAGCATGCCCAGAATAAGGGCTGCTGGTCAGGCTACAGCTGAAGGCCCCTGTTGAAGACAGGGTGATGGGGCACTAGCCCTCAGCGGTAAGGAACATATGTGGCAGAGAAGGGGGTGTGGCAAGAAGGAGCCCTTTCATAAACACTCTAGAAAGTGCCAGTTGCTAGGAATCTCTATATACCAAATTTCCTATGTGGCATTTGTGTGGGCTTCTCTCTGCTCTAGTTGAATGTGGACAGCAACTCAAGTTTGTGCTCCTCACAGAAAACTCACAGTAAAGAAAGGAAATGTTAGGGTAGCTCAGGATGGGCCTCTGAAAGAGAAAGAAGGAGAAGGGACCTTCAGTCCTCATCAAATCCCAGATCGTTGACTGTGTCTGGGTTCTTGGAATCCCAGATTTCACTGATCTGTTTTTTCAGTCTTCTATCTTAATTCCTTTTTGTCAAAACGCTCTTTAGTGTGGAAGCAATTGGCCAGAATTAGTGAATTAAAAGTTAACAAATGTGGTGATAGGAAGGCTTGCATTCTCCTGGGACTCAGATGTGGCTTGTGATGCAGCTAGAGTTGGGGTGATCATAGTTCTTGGTTTTAATTTACTATTTTTTTAATAGAAAGGTCTCAATGTATAGCCCTGTCTGGCCTGGAACTTGTTATGTAGACCAGGCTGGTCTCGAACTCACCAAGATTCATCTGCCTCTGCCTCCCAAGTGCTGGGATTAAACCCAAATGTTGGTTTTAAAAGAAGACTTGTTCTACTTTGCCTAAAGCAACCAAGTATAGCTCAGTCTAGAGGAACAGACTTGGTGTTTTACTGACTTTCTGTGACATGTGCTTGTTTCTCAATTAGTCCCTTGTTAACATTCCTCCAAGAATAACCAACTAGTCTATTGGTTATTTACAAACTAATGGTACTAGATCCCAAGTGACTTTTATTTCCAGGCTTAGATTTACTAAAACCTTTTGGCCCAATTTTAACGTACCATCTGATGTGGCTTGTCTTCCCTTAATGTTAGCAGTGGTAGCCAGACCACTGAAACTATATCAGATGCCATGGATCCCATAGAGGGATAGCAGATAGATAGTCTGAGAACAGGTGGCCTCAGCCCTGTTTCTTTTTGTTGTTGTTGTTTTGTTTGTTTGTTTTAAGTCAGGGTCTCTCTATGTTGCCCTGGTGCTCCTGGAACTCTCTATGTAGAGTAGGCTGGCCTCAAACTTACAGAGATCTGCCTGCCTCTGGGAGTGCTGAGATTAAAGGCATGTGCCCCATCACACCTGGCTAGCTCCTGCCTTCTTGGATGGCTGCCTCAATGGCTTTGTATAGAAAGGACTGAGCTCCTGACCTGGGGAGGCAAGTGGCATTTGTCAGGATCTAGTCATGTTGAGTTAGCTGGGCCCCTCCTTGCCCCTTTATGTTGTTTCCCTCTGGGTCCTGAGATGTCAAACACCAATTTCTAGACCTCTAGTTTAGAACCACTTAGAGTCCAGGAACAACAGAGCTGTATCCTCACATCTCTGATCAGTGGCACAGCCAGCACTACCCCCTTTGAAGCCCCAGGGTAGCTCAGAAATTTATGAACCACAGAGGATAAAGACAGTAAGATCTTTTCAGAGTGGACTTCTAGGACCAGTCTCAGTGGTTATATGCAGGAGTCTAGGGTGGGAACACTCAGGACCTGCATTCCAGGATGGATGTAAATTTTTGCTTTTTTCCTGAAATATCTCTTAATGGACTTGGGCCAAGCATCCCTGGCCTGAGGACTATCTGCCTTCTTGATATTTAAGGGTGGGGGGCTATAAAGTCAGACAGTGTTGGCCATACCACAACTGTGGCACTCTATTATAGCAGGCTTGACAGTCTGGTGTTGCCAAACTGTAAAGCAGGTCCTCACCCTTGTGTGAGTCATTGAAGGTGAGTAGTTGGAATGTAGGATTTTTTTTTTTTTTCCTGAGGCACGGTCTCTGGCTGTCCTGGAACTCACTATAGAGACAAAGCTGGGTGTGAACTCATAAAGATCTGTCTTTCTTTGCCTCCCAAATGCTGGGATTGAAGGAGTAGGCCATTACTCCTAGCTGCATTTAGAATCTTAATACTTTTGTTGTATTCAGCCCCAGCCACACAGGGAAAGGTCCATAAGTTCTTTTCAGAGATTCGGAGCTACTTGTGTTCTTCAGTTGCCTGTGTCTCATGGTATACATTCCATAGGCACCAGCTCAGGTGTCAGGGACTCACACTTCTGCGGGGAAGTCACTTGGAGCTGTGCCTGCCCTTTATGAATTAAAACTTTTAAAATGTACATTTGAAAAATTCATTCTTTCACAATGTCATATATATCTCTCTGATCATTTCCTCCCTCCCAGTATCCTCTCTTATCCCTCCCCACCCCGTCTGAACTCCTTCCCAACAAGCCCTCTGTCTTAGTCAGGGTTTCTATTGCTATGAAGAGACACCATGACCATGACAACAACTCTTACAAAGGAAAACATTTAATTGAGGTGGCAGCTTATAGTTTCAGAGGTTTAGTGCATTATCATCATGGCAGGGAGCATGGTGATGTGCAGGCAGACATGGTGCTGGCTACATCTTGCTATGCAGGCAACAGGAAATGATCTCTCACTGGATATAGCTTGAGCAAAGGAGACCTCAAAGCCCAACCGCACAGTGACACACTTTCTCTGACAAGGCCACACCTACTCCAACAAGGCCACACCTCCTAATAATGCCAACTCCCTTTGGGGGCCATTTTCTTTCAAACCACCACATCCCCCTCCTACTTACCTGTTTTTTTTTCTTTTTGTGTGTGACTCACTGTATCTAATTAGGGTTGCTTGCATGAGCATGGGTGAGGGGTTATTTACTTGCACAAGAGCAATTTACCAGTAACTACACCACTTAGGAAAATGATCCCCTCTTCCCCAGATACCATTAACTTCCTATAGTTCTTTAGGGAGGGCTGGAGCCTCAGAACCTCTCCCTCCCTCAATATTATAGCTTTAATCTAGAATCACCTGGGAAGGCAGTCTTAATGAAGGATTGTCTATATTAGGATGACCTGGGGCACTGGGGGTGGAGAGTATCCTGATTATATTAATTAATGGGGGGAGAAGACCCACCTGATGTGGGTGGCATCCTTCCCCCAGCAGGGATCCCTAGATTATCTAAGAACAGAAAAAGCAAACTGAGCACTCGAATGCATGCATTAATTCATTGCTCTCTGCTCTTGGCTGTGGATCTAAGATGACCGGTTTTCTGAAGCTCCTGCTGCTATAACTTCCCTTTCATAATGGACTATAACCTGTGAACTAAATAAACCTTTCTCCTTTAAGCTGCATTATGCTAGGGTATTTTATCACAGCAACAAGAAAAGAAATTAATGCATTCATCCATCCATAATAGAATGCTGATAGAACCCAGCCTTACTCAGGCCTTGTGCAGGTAACCACTAATGCTCTTCCTGAGGCAAGGGAGTGGTTGCAGAAGCCATATCATGTCTAGAAGACAGTGTTTCTCGGCACTTCTTCACATCCTCCATCTCCTACATTTTTTTTCTGTCCCTTTTCCACAATGTTCCCTTAGCCTTACAGGAGATAATATAGATGTCCTGTTTAGGACTGAACATTCAACAGTTACATTCAACATTCATTTTTACCTGTTATCAGTCTCTACACTCACTGATGCAGGCTGCACAAAGACTTGCTTCCCTAAGACTAAGAGCAGCACTGGTCTTTGAGTATAAACATAAGTATTTACAGGGCAGTTTGACAGCATGTCCATTTAGCAAAACACCAATGGTGGCTTCCTCTCTAAGTCCATGAGCTCCCCAGCTATGGGCTTTGGAACAGGTTTACAGTGCCAGGCATGAATTTCCTTCTATAGAGTGGGCCTCCAATTCAATTGTAAAGTGGTTGGTTACCCCCCATAACAGTCATGCCACAGTTGCAGTAGTGCACCCATGTTGCCAGGCAGTTAGTATTATAGCACACAGGATCCATGGCTAGGTAAAAGCACTGATGACTTTTCTCCCTGCCACACACCCCCAAGCTCGCACACACTTGTTTGCTGGGTGTGCCTGTATGGGTTTTTGAGAGTAGAAGTGAGACTGTAAGGTTCACCTTTGTAGTAGACAGCAAGTGCTGACACCGAGAGAGACTGGTTCCACCACGGGTGTCCTCTGGCCCTAAACGTGGTCTCTGCTCTTCACCCAGGTATTGGCGGATGCTGTCTCACGCCTGGTCCTGGGTAAGTTCAGTGACCTGACAGACAACTTTTCCTCCCCCCACGCACGAAGAAAAGTGCTTTCTGGAGTAGTGATGACCACAGGTAAGCATCTGGCGCTCTGTTCAGCCTGTCTGCTTTCTGGTTGAAAAGCACAAATGCTCTCAATCTTGTGACACCAACAGAGAATTGCCTCTTCTTCTTTCTGTCTTTATGTATCTGCCATATACAAGTATAAAAATTGTCCTCAGAAGCCTTTTTCCTCCTTAGGACTGAAAACATAGCTTAGTAGGTAGAACACATGTTAGCAGTCAGGATTCTTGAGTGGGGATCCCCAGCTATCTTCTACCCCTAAAGAAAACTTACATAAAACAAAACTCTTTTCCTCCAAAATATTCAACTTTTTTTGTTGGTTTTTTTTTTTTTTTTCAAGACAAGGTTTCTCTGTGTAACAGCTCTGGCTGTCCTAGAACTTGCTTTGTAAACTAAACTGGCCTTGAACTCACAGAGATCCGTCTGCTTCTGCCTCCCAAAATATTCATCTTTTAAAAAAGGATTTATTGTGTCTGTGTGTTTTGCTTATACGTATGTAAGTGTACCACAGATATACAGTGCCCTCGGGGGCCCGAAGAGGGCATCAGATTTTCTTGGAACTGGAGTTACAGATGTTTTTAGTTGCCGTGTGGGTGCTGGGAACTAAACCTGGATCCTTTGTAAGAGCAGCAAGTGCTCTTGACTGGCCGAGCCATCTCTCTAGCCCCAAAATGTTCTACTTTTGAACCTGTCTTATGTTTTGGAGAGAGCATACTATATTACCATGTGACATCACTGTGGCCCGGCATGCTCTGGGAACAGCATATTACCAACTCTGGCTTCTGTGGAAGCTGAGACCCTTTCTGCTTCATTAGTGTCACTACTGACACGTCAGAGTGTGGGGGAACACTTGTGAAACCAGAAAATCCTTGGGAAGTTGGTCAAGTACACTCAGCGGTGTCTATGAGGGCATTTTCAGAGAGTAACAAGGACAAAAGACCTGCCTGGATGTGTCTGGCAGCATCCCATAGGCCAGTGGTTCAGAAAGAGTTTTAAAATAGGGATAGGGAAAGCCCATCAATCTAAGCATATTCATTTTCATTCTCTCTCTCTCTCTCTCTCTCTCTCTCTCTCTCTCTCTCTCTCTCTCTCTCTCCTCCCTCTCCCTCATACCCACACACATAATCACATTCAAACACACCCCTTTCCTGGTCACCATCATATATGAACTGCTCTGCTACATTCTCCCCACCACAATGGACTGAAATCACAGAAACTCAGCAAAAAAAAAACCAAAAAAAAAACAAAATCCCCTCCTTTAGTTCTCTCAGGATGACAAATGAAAATTGGTGCCATCTGTGATACCAGTTGGGATTGTTGCTGTGACTGACAGACTATATTGTTCAGAAAAGCCTTTTGGAAGTGACTTATGGGAGGAATTTTAGAAAAGTTTGGAGAGGTGAGCCAAAGAAGCCCTAGAATGTGTAAGCTCAGCTTAATGGGTGATTCCGTGGAGCTCAGAAGACCCAGAGTGACTAAGAATGAGGGCAGATACAAGGTTCCAGATGGGAACCCAGAGTGTGCTGGAAACCGGACTGTGGGCGGTTTGTGTTACATTGTGGCAAAGAGCTCATCTACGGTTTGCCGTTTGCAATGCGAAGTTTATTGCCATTGTGTGTTGGGAATATGTAAAATGTGCTTTAATTTTCACAGGGACTCACAGCTAAGATTTTGCCTTGAGCCTCAGTAGACTTTGGATTTGAACGGTGTTGGGACTTTAAGATTATGACATTCTGCCGGGCGGTGGTGGCGCACGCCTTTAATCCCAGCACTCGGGAGGCAGAGGCAGGCGGATCTCTGTGAGTTCGAGGCCAGCCTGGTCTCCAAAGCGAGTTCCAGGAAAGGCGCAAAGCTACACAGAGAAACCCTGTCTCGAAAAACCAAAAAAAAAAAAAAAAAAAAAAAAAAAAAAAAAAAAAAAAAAAAAAAAAGATTATGACATTCTTAGAGGTACACTAAATGCATTTTTCAGTAACATCCTTTTGGAGACCAAGGATGAAATGTTTTAAGAGGTTTGATTGTCAGGTTGACAAGGGGTGGACTTAGGATGACTAATCGTGATTGTCAACCTGATTGATTTGAGAAATGCTTAGGTGTGTCTGTGAGGGCATTTCCAGAGGGGACTAAGCCTGAATGTGGATGGCACTACCCTTTAGGTGAGAGGCCCAGGTGAATAGAAAGGGAAAGAGGAGAAGGCCCATGAGTGCAGGCATTCTCTCTGCTTTTTGCCACCATGAGTTAAGCTATTCTGTTCCACTTTGCCATGATGGACTAAAACCTCTAATTGTGAGTCAAAATTAATATTCCTTGTTTAAATTGTTCTCTCAAGAATTCTGTTACAGAAAAGACTAACGACACCAATCACCTCAAGGACTAACTTTTTGTATCTTTTTTTTTGGACAGGGTTTCTCTGTGTAGCCCTGGCTGTCCTGGAACTCACTCTGTAGACCAGGCTGGCCTTGAACTCACAGAGATCCACCTACCTCTGCCTCCCAAGTGCTGAGATTAAAGGCGTGCGCCACCACCACCTGGCAGCCTTTTGTATCTTTTTCTGACCATTTGCTCATAGCCAAAATGTGTGTCTGAAACCAGTGAGCTGGGCACATAGGTTTTGTGCTCTCACTGGTTAAATGGCCTCAGGCAGGTTATTAATCCCTGTGAGCTGCAGTTCTTCCCTTCAAAACAGAAACAAAGCTCCTCAGAGGACACCATGAGGACAAGCCGTGAGGAAGAGTGGCTCACACTCCTGGCACAGTGCCTCCCCCATAGCCTGTGTCTTAGTTCCTTTTCCTGGTGCTGTGAGCAAATACCCTGATAAAAGCAGCTTCGGTAGAGTTATTTCAGCTCATAGCTGGAGAAGTCCATCATGGCGGGGAAGTCACTTGGCAGGAGCTTGAGGCAGCTGATCACATTGCATCTGCAGTCAGGAAATAGAGATGAATCATTTGTTCAGCTCCCTTTTCTCCTTTTTATACAGTCTGGGACCCCAGCTTAGGGAATGGTGCTGCCCACGGTGCATGGGTCTTCCCATCTCAATCTAATCAAGAAAATCTCTCATAGGTATGCCCAGAGGCCAACCTTGTCTAGATAAGCCCTTCCAGATGTGCCCAGAGACATACTTCCTGGGTGATTTCTAGAATCTGTCAAACTGACAGTTAACGCTCACCCTTACAACATGTAGCGTATATCTATTTCAGTCACTGAGTCTGCTCTAAGGCCGTACTCTGGATTGGTTTGTTGATGCTGTTGGATTTTTTGTTTGTTGGTTTTCTATTGTCATTCTAGGGATGTATCTCAAAGCCTCACCCATGCTAGGTGTATGTTCTACCACTGAGACACATCCCCCTCCATATTCAGGTCTTTGTAGCATGTCTGGGTCAGTGATCTTTTTCACAGGATTTAATCATGATTTCCCCTCGCTGGAAGGTCACATTATGTGGTTAAGTGTGAAAATTGCTAATGAAGATGTGGAAGCTGATTCCATTTTCTTTCTTGGTACTCTTCAGCCTATAAGTCACTCCTCCTAGCCTCTTTAATATTTTACTTTAGAGGCTAATTCCAGGCACTATGTATAATACTTCTTACCTATAGTCAAGGGGAATGTTCAAACATTCATGCATGCCAGTGGAAGTGGCATGCATGAATGAAGTTTAGGGTATAGACTACAGGGTAAGGAAGGAAGCCTTCTGGAATGGTACAGAACAAAGCCTCAGGCAGAGGCTATTTCAAGTTCAGGTTTCTCAGGTAGGAATCAGAAGACACGAAGGCATGTGAAAACAAGCTCAAGTGTTCAGCTGACCCTGAGTGGTCCAGTTGCTGAGAACACCTATCAAACAGGCCAGTGTCATTCATTGCCAGTCACTCTCCTGTCTTTCAGGTACAGACGTCAAAGATGCCAAGGTGATAAGTGTTTCGACAGGGACGAAATGCATCAACGGTGAATATATGAGTGACCGTGGCCTCGCACTAAATGACTGCCATGCAGAGATAATCTCCCGAAGGTCCCTGCTCAGGTTTCTTTATGCACAGCTTGAGCTTTATTTAAAGTAAGTCTAGGAATAAACAAGTGAAGGAGCTATTTTTAAAATACTTTCTGTCAGAAAGCATTGCATAGCCTTTACTTGTTTGTGTAAGCACTGAGGAATCCTCAGGACTATAACCGTGTGAGGAATACGAAGGCCGAGCCTTGCTGTCCTGTGATGCTGTCTGAGCGGGTCCCACTCTCCCATGATTCTCAGTATGAACTAGAGTGAACTAACTCATAAGCATGCACGCACACATGCACACGCACACACACACATTCATACATGCAAGCATACTTACATAAAACACATACTGAGAATCATAACATACTCATAAATTTCAAGTCCATATTTAAGATGGTGGTTTTTGGCTCATGCATTGTGAAAATAAACATGCCTTCATAAACTGCCTGGTAAAGAAGGTCATTTTCACTTTAGTAACTGGGCATGGTCAGAACTGACCTTGTACTGGACTGCTCTTCTTGACAATGCCATTTCTTCCATGTGGTCTTTTTGCCTTGCAATCTCACCTGAGAAGAAGTGGTCACTCACAGTTGATGACATATTGATCACTGAATGGACCTGGACTATGGATTACTATAAACATGTATAACAGTGATTCTAGTTCAGGCTAGACATAGTGGTGCACGACCGTAAATCCTAGCAGTGGGGGAGCTGAGGCAGCAGAAGCCCAGGGTTGAGGCCAACCTGGTATACATAGCAAGATACTGTCTCCAGAAAACTCACCTCTTCCCTAACTGAAAGCACTGGCCTCTGACGTCCTTCTGAACCGCTGTCGACCTCTGTTGGTTACACACCCCTTTAATTGTCATTCTCATAACTTTTCCCTTGCAGTAACAAAGAAGACCAGAAAAAGTCCATCTTTCAGAAGTCAGAACGGGGTGGGTTTCGGCTAAAGGATACTGTACAGTTCCACCTGTATATCAGCACCTCACCCTGTGGAGACGCCAGAATATTCTCCCCCCATGAGCCAGTGCTAGAGGGTATGACGCCAGAATCTCACCAGCTGACAGGTTTTTAAGAAACATAATATAATGTAGTGTTAGAACACATCCACATCAATGTTCTTATTTTTCTTTTCTCTTTGTTTTTTAAAATTTCAGCCTTAGGCATGGATTTGATAAGAGTACAGATTCTTTCTTCCAAATTAATCATTTACTTAGTAAATTTTAATGAATGAAAAATGCTAATTCTTAAAAAAAGGTGCTAGTTTTGGTTAAGTAAACAATCTCTAAGTGACCCCTGTATTTCCAGTGAGTGCTGACTGATGAGCGTCTGACTGAAGCTTGAGGCTGTGCTAGAGAAGCAGGTGGACAAAGGCAACCGAGGCCCCTAGTATTGCCTGTGCCGTCTTTTGGAGGCCAGCCTAGGACTGCTTTTATACTAGTCTGGATATACATTCCTACTCTCATGCCTAAGCACCATGAATTGCAAATGGATTTTCCTTGGTTATAAAAACAGTAATATTCACTGTAAAAAATTACTACTTTCAAAAATAATAAAAAATTGAAGTCACTCATATTCATATAACTCACTGTTAATCATTGGGAATATCTTCATATACTCCCATGGATTGATTTCTATGTTTGTCTATTTTTGAAATGATAAAAATACAAAGGTTAATATATAACAAGCACCTAAGTATCTATTACTGAGAATTAGCAAAACTTAGCATTTTTCTCCATTTGTGTCCACTTGTTAATAATAGAAATCATCTCAGCCAAAATGTAAATCACCTTTTTCCATGTTCATAAATTTGGTCTGTATTGTCTTTTCAGTTCAATTTTACATATTTACTGGAATGCATATTTTGTATGGAATGAATAAATGTTTGCATAAATATCCATAAATTATACTTTAAATTTTAGTACATTAGAAGTGCTTTTCTGTAAGTTAGCTGTTTTATTATCTGTGGGTTTTGAACCCTCTCTTTCTTTTAGAACCAGCTGATAGACATCCAAATCGGAAAGCAAGGGGACAGCTACGGACAAAAATAGAGTCTGGTGAAGGGACAATCCCTGTGCGCTCCAACGCCAGCATCCAGACCTGGGACGGGGTGCTGCAGGGGGAACGGCTGCTCACCATGTCCTGCAGTGACAAGATAGCACGGTAAGGCCGCAGGGGCCTGCCCCTCACCATGCACACACAATTCTTATAAGCCTTTCCTGACTCCCTGTTTTCAAAATCATTCCCTGCTCAGGTGCTCCAAGAGTTCTCTAAAGACTAAGGTTCCTCCCAGGTGCTTCTAGGGTTACCTGAAGGGGACAAGGGAGACCATGACACAGGGCACTCCAGTTTTCCCACACCACTTGCTTCAGAACATTCATCTTGCCTTTTAGTATGTCTTTTTCCACATAGGTATCAGGGTTAAGCTGATTATGTTGGGCATTCTAAAGGCCCAACATATTTTATTTTACACAATCTGCTCCCAGAGGAAAACATATAAGCATGTCCTTGTCAGCAAGGAACACAGTGTCCATGGTCATTGTGCCAATCAGTTAACCCTGTGGTAATTGACCTTTACCAACTAGAACAATGTGAGCCATCCCAGGCTAAGGCTAGTGTTCCATGAACACACTGCTCTAGTTACCTGCCGCGTGCCTGGGAAGCAGCTTCTCTCGGGAGCTTAGATCCAGGTCAGATTTTAGAAATCCGTTTCTTCAGATGCCAGTACAAGTTCCAGTGGCTATTCTGTTTTCATGTTTCAGCTAATGTATTTCAGCAGATGATGGAAAGCATTCAAAGTACAGATGCATATAAAATTAAGCCTCTTTCTACAGACACACCCCTGTGGCACCAGGGTAAGCAGTTCTGGACTGGCCCACCAGAAGGTTTGGAATTGACATAGGCATAGTGCATGTGTATCTTTTTCTCCCCTTCACATCAGATGGGTCACGTGCCCAGTCATATGTCCTGACGAGGCCTAGGGAGGCACATCTCACAGTGTGGCATGAAACCTAGTCATCGCTCATGAGCCACTTATCTTGTCAACTGCTGTGAGCTCTTTGTATTGATTTTCTCTAAAGTGGGTTTCATAGGGGAGCTGTAAGACTCAGAGCTGGATTAATCATACATATGCCTTAGACCATTCTCCCCAAGCACTGGTGGAGGTTGAGTCACTCATAGCCAAAGGAAAAAAAAAGAAAAGAAAAAATCCAGAGGACTGGGAGTGTTTAAGATTTTGGAGGCTTTGAATTTTGAAATATTTCTGTAGACTCTACCAATTGAGCATACCTAACTGAAAACCCAAAACCCACAGTCTCCAAACTCTGCAAGGCTCTAGTGGTAGGCTACCTGTGCCTGCCTTCTGTAGCATGTTTGCTCTGTATGTGCCCACACTTACACTTTGAGACCTACTCAGTGCTGTATGTGTCAGCAATTTTTGTTTTGTTTTTTGTTTTTTCAAGACAGGGTTTCTCTGTGTAGTTTTGGTGCCTGTCCTGGAGCTCACTCTGTAGACCAGGCTGGCCTTGAACTCAGAGATCTGCCTGGCTCTGCCTCCCGAGTGCTGAGATTAAAGGAGTGTGCCACTACTGCCTGGCAGTTACTTTTACTTTTATACCATTTTGAAATCAGGCAATAGGACCCTTCAATCTTATTCTTTTTTTTTTTTTTTTCTAAATTGTTTTGGCTTTCCAGGATTCCTGGAGATGTCATAGGAACTTTCTGAATCCCATTTCTTTTGTATGTTTTGTTTTTATTTTCATGCATATAAGTTCCTTTGCAACTTTGGTTTGTTGATGACTGCAGACCATGCATGACATTTGGTTTCTCTATGTTTAATTTTTCAATTTCCATTTTTTAATATAGATTCATAGTTTTACTCTATTGTGAGTGGAAAGATATTTGTATGATTTAATTTTCTTGAATTTTGTAAAATTTGTTTTGAGGCTGATGCATGCTCTGCCCTGGAGAATGTTCTAGATGCACTTGGGAAGCATATGTAGTCTACTGTTCTTACAGTGGAGTGTTCTGTGTTTGTGTTAGATCCAAGGGTCTACAGTGTTCTGAGTCTATTGCTTCCGTTTTGCTCTTCCATCTGATATGTGCATAGTTGAGTGGAGTGTTGACATTTCCTAACATTATTGTGTTGCTGTCTATTTCTTCCTTCAGATCTGTCATGGTTAAATTTATATATTCAGAAGTTCTGTGGCTTGCTGTGTAATATTCATAGGTTGTTGCTGTACATATTTGTGTGTCTATTTAGCAGGTGGGGTGTGTGGAAGCCAGAGGACTACTTGGCAGAAGTTGGTTTTCTCTTTCCACTATGTGGGTCCCAGGGATCAAACTCAGTTCACTAGTCCCCTTACCCACTGAGCCACTTTGCTGGCCCCATAGATGTGTTTTCTTGCTGGTAAATTGAGTCCTTTATCATCATATACTGTCTTTTGTCTCTTCTGGGTTTTTTTTTTTAATCTATGTTGTCTAATTATTCCTACTCATTTGGTTATCTTTTGCATGAAATACCTCTTTTCATCTTTTCACTTTCAGCATCCCTGTGTCCTTAGATCTGAAGTAAATTTTCTAATGTACAATCCACCCTATTATGTTATTAATCCATTTGTCAATCTTGTCCTTTAGCTGGGAGATTAGTCTGCTAATATTTGAAGTTTTCTTGGGAGGGAAGGCTTACCGTGTTATTTCTGTGTGGCGTATAGTTCTATTTCTCCCTGATTTTCTCTCTTACCATCTTTCTTTTAAAATGTCCTCATAGGAGTCTCATTTCTTTTTGTATATTTTCTACAGATCTTCCTTTGTGGCTATAATTCGGGTTTTTAGATTTTTTCTTAAAAATTGTGTGCATGTGTGTGGTGGGAGGCTGTGCAGGTGTGTGTGAAGGCCAGAGGTGTTGAATACCACTGAAGCTGGAGTTACACACAGTTATGAGCCTCCTGATGTGGATGCTGGGAACCATACTCGAGTTCTCTTGAAGAACCTCCTCTTCAATGCTGAGTCATCTCTCCATCCTTGCAGTTACAATTCTGATTGCATAAAACATCTTAAAATTATAGCATTCTATTTTAAACTGATAATGATGTAACTTCAAATACATATGAAAACTCTTCTTTCTAGCTCCACTCCCTCATACTTGGTCAATATCACAGATTATGTCTTTGTATATTTTATACCCACTGACATAGATCTAAATTCATAATGTGTTTAAATTCAGTTAATCAAAATTATAAGCCAGGTATGGTAGTGCATATCCAATCCCAGCACTCAGAAGGCTGAAGCAGGAGAATCTGTGTTCAAGACAGCTGAACTATTGAGTCTATTGATTCTATTCTATTGATATCTACTGTTCTGATGCTTCAGGTTGAAGGACTCCGGTCTGTGTTTCTGTTTCTTCTAAGGTCTAGTAGTGATGGACTCTGCCCACTGGTATCAGGGTGATCCCTGAGAAAGTCATAAATTCCCCTTCATTTATGAAGGACACTTAGAGATACATCTTCCCACTCCTTTCTGGTTCATAACATTTTTACTGAGAAACTGAGAAACTCTAAATGAGCACCGACTTTTCACTGCTGTTTCTTAAGATTGTTTGTCTTGACTTAGTTTGATTGAAGTGGACTCACTGTCATTTTCCTTGTATTTATGATCAGTTCAGTTCTTTGCCCTTGAATCTGTGTGGTCTTTTTCTTTCCTTGGGGATTCAGGCAGTGTTTCTTCAAATAAACTCATTGCCTTTCTCTTTCTCTCCCAGAATTCCCAGGACTTTCATGTTGTTCTGCTCACTGGTATTCATTAGTCCATAGCCTATATTCGTTTATACTCTTTGTATTTTTCTACTCTCCTCTACTGATGATTTTGATGGCCTGTCTTTAAGTTTATTGGCTCTTTATCCCATTGATCCCTCAGCTATGGTTTTCAGTTCAGTTGTTTCTTCAGGATGTCTCATGTATTGATGTAGATCTCTCTGTGTTGATAATCTCATTTTGTTCATGCAGTCTTTTCATAGTGTGAGTGCCTGTGTTCTCTTTTAGCTTATTAGGCATCCATATGTCAGTTACTTTAAATTATTTGCCAGGACACTCATAGATCTGTATTTCTTTAAGATTGGGTTCTGGAAATTTATTATTAGTCCTTTGGTCCATGCTTCTGTTTTTATTTTGCTATCTTTTGTTTATTTACTTAGCTGGGATTGAGCATTTAGAATAAGAAGCACCTCTCCCAGCCTCTGTATATTGGCTTTGTGCAAGGAAGTTCTTCCTAATAAGTTCTTGCTTTTCTGAATTCTTAGTCCACTGGTGTTGCCAGCAGAATTGGGTCCTAACTTGGTGCTTGTCTGTTTTAGTAGCTTTTAAACTCTAGTCCCACCCATCACTGCCTTTCTTAGTTAGGGTTTCTATTGCTGTGAAGAAAAACCATGACCATGCAAGTCTTATAAGGAAAACATTTAATTTGGGTGACTCACTTACTTACAGTTTAAGAGGTTTAGTCCATTGTCATCATGGCAGGACATAGCAGCATTCAGGCAGACATGGTGCTGGAGAAGGAGCTGAAAGTTCTCCATGTTGATCCACAGGCAACAAGAAGTGAACTGAGTGTCACACTGTGTGTAGCTTGAGCATAAGAGACCTCAACGCCCACCCCACAGTGACACACACCAACAAGGCCACACCTACTCAAGCAAGGCCACACCTACTCAAGCAAGGCCACACTTACTTCAACAAGGCCACACCTCCTAATAGTGCCACTCCCTTTATGGGCCATTGGTTTTCAAACCATCACATTCTAGTCCCTGGCTCCCAAAGGTGTGTAGTCATATAATACAAAAATCCATTCAGTCCAACTTCAAAAGTTCTCATAGTCTATAATAGTCATAAACATACTTTAAAATATAAAGATCAAAATCAACAAGCAGATCACATACTTCCAACATATAATGGCACAGGATAAATATTAGTGTTCCAAACATAGGGAAGGGAGCGTAGTGAGGAAATACTGTGCCAAAGAAACACTGAAAACCAGCTGGGCAAATTTCAAACTCTGCATCTCCATGTCTGATATCAAAACGCTTTTCAGATCCCCAACTCCTTTCAGTTTTGTTGACTACAACACACTTTTATCTCTTGGGCTGGTTCCACTCCCTGTTAGCAGCTTTCCTT